TTCGTAACTGGAACAACTGTACCGTGAGCATTTCTGGTCCTGACTTGTAACCTGTTGTTGGTTTTGCTGTTCAGTGCTGTTGAGTTGCTTCCAACTCTTAGCTTCCTGGTATACAGTTTCCAAGGAGCAGCTGGTGGGTTTGAACCACAGACCTTGTGGTTCAAACCAATCTTGCAGTCCCGTGCTTTATCCCATAGCAGCACACCAGGACACCTGTAACCTGTTAAGTTCTTTAGTAAACCCAATGTCTGTGAGTATGGTGCCTAAGCTCTCTGTGACCACTGCAATGGATTATCAAACACCTTGAGTAAAGAGGGATGTGGCAGAAATAGTTGGTGTCATGTTTTTTACCCTCCTTTTCATTTTAATATTCATTCTTTTCCTTTTCTTTCTATATATCTGTTGTTGTTGTTGTTGTGAAGTGTCGTGGAGTCAGTTCTGACCCATAGTGACCCTGTATAGGGTTTCCAAGGAGCTGCTGGTGAGTTTGAACCAACGACCTTGCAGTTCAAATGGCTTTGCATTCTGGCACATTAACCTGCAGCACCATCTGTGGTGGTAATGGTGGTTATGTGCCGCACCATCTGTAGAAGTATCTATTTTGCAAGAACCAGTGAGTGAGCCACTTGTTCATTTTACAAATATTTATTCAGTGGTTTAGCTCCATTCTAAATTATTTTTGCTTCCTATATTGAAGGGCAGAGATGTCAGCTTGAGGACTAAGGTGCGCCTGACCCAGGCCATGGTGTTTTCAGTAGTCTCATATGGATGCGAAAGCTGGACAGTGAATAAAGAAGATCATAGAAGAATTGATGCCTTTGAGTTGTGGTGTTGGAGGAGAATACTGAAAGTGCCACGGACTGCCAAAAGAACCAATAGATCGTTTTGGAAGAAGTGCAGCCAGAGTGCTCCTTGGAGGCCAGGATGGCTAAGCTTTGTCTCTCATACTTTGGACATATTGTCAGGAGGGAACAGTCGCTGGAGAAGGATGTCATGCTGGGTAAGGTGGAGGGTCAGAGAAAAAGAGGAAGACCCCTAACGAGATGGATTGGCCAGGTGGCAACATTGATGGACTCAAGTGTGACAGCGGTAGTGAGGTTGGCCCAGGATTGGACATTGTTTCGTTCTGCTGTGCATGGGGTCACTATGAGTCGGTTCCGACTCGATGGCACCTGATAACAACAACAACAATATTTTCAATTGCCATTGCTCTGTCTGAAAGTGTAGAGAAGCTAAAGTGAATGGAAGAAATGATGAAGTAAAAGAGCTGAACAGAAAATTTCAAAGGGAAACTCAAGAAGACAAAGTCAAGTATTATAATGAAATGTTCAAAGACCTGGAGTTAGAAAACCAAAAGGTAAGAACACTTTCAGCATTTCTTAAGTGAAAAAACTTGGAGAGAAAAAAAATCAAGCGTTGACTTGCAATACTGAAGGATTCCATGGACAAGATATTGAATGATGCAGGAAGTATCAAAAGAAAATAGAAAGGACATACCGAGTCACTGAACCAAAAAGAAATGGTCAGTGTTCAACCTTGTCAAGAGATAGCATAGGATACTGAAGGAAGAAGTCTGCAGAGCACTGAAGGCACTGGCAAAAACAAGGCTCCAGGAGTTTCTGGAATACAGATTGAAATCTTTCAACAAACTGATACTGCACTAGAGCTGCTCACTTATCTGTGCCAAGAAATTTGGTCCACTGATTGGAGGAGATCCATATCTGCCCATTCCAAAGACATGTGACCCAACAGAAGGCAGAAATAATTGAACAATATCATTAAGACCCCAGATAGAGTGGGAGAAAATGTGAGGTAAGACTAAAAATTATTAAAAAAAAAAAAAAAGATTGAGTTACTGTTCAGAAAGACACTGGAGGCCCAGGAGCACCCTTCAGGTTTACAATGGAACTCATTCCTTTTGCCCAATTTTCAGGTAAACATATTGGTATATAGTGGGGCCAACAACACTAGTAAGGTATGCTCACCATGGAATGGTCAATCATTCAAGATCAAAAGGGCAATACTTACCTCAGGACACAGCTGAGAAGGGATGGGAATGAGGGTGGAATGGAAATAATCGTTACAGGGAGGAAATGGGAAAACTGTTTTGATGTGGAGGGGATTGCAATCATTGAGATGAAACAAAGTGTATGATTTGCTGAATGTAAAGCTGATGATTGTGGTAAAATTTCCTTCAGTTCACAATAAAATTTTTAAACAAAATTAGTAAAATTGTGCCCTTTACAAAAAGATCATCAATAAAATATTTCTAGTAGAAACAGCTAGAAAAATTTCCGTCAACTTGGTATGATATGAATCCCAGGCATGTAGTTTTCAACCTCTCCCTAATTTGAATGATCGTTTGCTAAGCTGTGTCACAGAATGCTATCTGCTTCCAGTGAAAGCTGTGGCTCTTCTATACCGACTACCCACCCAACCCCCAGTTTAGACGTGTTACAACTATAATTGTCTTGTAGTGTTTTAGGGTTCTCCGAGTGTGACTGTGAAAGTCCAAAGTTCAAAAACACTAGAATGGTCATAGACCCAAGAGCCGCTCCAGTTCAAATTTGGGTTGTATAAGAGCTCCTATAATAATCCCTCCTTTTCTCCTTGCAAGTCTAAAACAAGACACCTTTCCTTTGAGAATAAATGTCCTCCATCATTGTGGTGTGGCACTTTGGATCAGCACTGAGCTGCAGACGACAAGATCAGCAGTTCAGACCCACCAGCTGCTTCTTGGAAACTCTATACAGGGTTGCTATGAGTTGGAACCTACTTAGTGGCACTTAACAACAACAACATATGATAAGCACAGGACTGGGAACTGTAAGACCCCTGGTTTGGGCTTGCCAGCCGCTTTGCAGGAGAAAGATAATGCTTTTTGCTCTTGTGAAGATTTAAAGCCTTGGAAACCCTGTATAGGGTCACTATGAGTTGGTGCCGACTCCATGGCACTTAACAACAACAGTCATCATACTCACAACCCTAACAGGAAGGTCAGCATCTAGCCCTGGAGAGAGATGAAGCATTGAAACACTACAAAACAGCTGATACAAGCAATTCAATTTGTAGGTGATTTGGAAATGCGCATCTGGTTGCTTTTTTGTTTGTTTGTCTTTTAAAGGCATAATGCGGGAGAAAGACGAGGCTTTCTGCTCCCGTAAAGATTTACAGCCTTGGAAACCCTGTACAGGGTCGCTATGGGTCGGCACCGACTCGACGGCACTTAATAACAACAACAACAACAATGTATCTAGGTAAACAGTACTTTGGAAAGATTTTCTTTCAAAACATTGAAAACCTGAGAAGCAGATAGTTTAGTCCCAGTTTGACAAGAGAGAATTGTTTCCTCTCAGAGTCTTGATTATTGTCCTCTGTTGATTTCTCTGTGACTGAAGGACTAAAAGTTTTCTGCCATTCCCTTTGGTGGAAACATTTCTAGATGTAATAGAGTTAAGCCATTAGAAAGATTTCTTCACCTGCAGATGAAATTGTTTTGTTGATTGTTCAACAACTACCCTGATCCTTTTCTTTCCACTTCTTAGATCTTTTTTAACCCCACTGAACCCATTTCTGGAGTGCTGGTTTGGTGCTGTAGCATAAGCACAGGGCTGTTATCCACAAAGTCGGTGGTTCAACTCCACCAGCTGCTTCTTGGAAACTATACATAGTCGCTGTAAGTTGGAATGAATACAAAGACACTACATAATAACAATAAACCCATTTCCAAAGACCCTGGGTGGCACTGTAGGATCAGCATTGCACTGCTAACTGCAAGGTTGGTGGTTCAAACCCACCAGCTGCTCTGAGAGAAAAGATGAGACTTTCTGCTCCTGTAAAGGTTTGCAGCTTAAGAAACTCTCCACAGGATCACTTTTGAGTCAGAACTGGCTCGATGACAGAGAGTTTAGTTTTGGTTTAAAATCCACTGCCGCCAAGTCAATTCAAACTTTTAACAACCCTGTATAGGGTTTTTGAGACTGTAAGTCTTTCCAGAAGCAGACAGCCTCATCTTTGTCTCTCTCAGAACGGCTGGTAGGTTTGAACCACTCCTTAAAAGGAGTCCTGCTGGTGCTGTGGGTTCAAAGTTGTCCGTGTAATTCAGTCAGAATTTGATATGTTTCAAACTAATGGTAACCAGTTTGATAGTTGATACTGCTTTGTTTTGGATCTATTTAGATGTGTGTACATTTTTACATTTTGTTTTGAGTGAACAAAAATAGAAGTCATGTTAGTATCAATTTTCTCACATAGGATAGTCTTGCTATTAGGTGCTTGGACTTCAGTTCTGACTCACAGCAAGCTTGTGCACAGCAGACTGAGGCACGATCGGGTCCTGAGCCGCCCTCATAATTGTTGTTAGGGTTGAGCCCATTGTTGTTGTCACTGTGCCTGTCCATCTTATTGGTGGTCTTCCTCTTGATCCTCAGAAACCGAGAGTCATATGATACAAAATTGTAAGTATCTTACCGTTTTTTAATTTATGGAGTCCCTGGGTAGTGTATACAGTTAACATGTTCACTTGTTAACCAGAAGATTGGAGGTTCCTCAGAGGAAGAGCTTGATGATACTCTTTTAAAAATCAGCCATTGAAAATCCTTTGGAGCGCAGTTCTGCTGTGACACCCACAGGTTCCCATGAGTCAGAATTGACTCAGTGGTAACTGAGTTGTTATTATTTTGTTTTGTTTTGCTTTTTATTTGTAGGTTGATCTCCTCAAATGTGCTTTGCTCTTCCAATGTGCTTTTTCTCTATGTTACAGACCTGTGGCTTCTTTGCTGTCCCTAAGCTAGGGTTTGAGTCCTGGTGGGGCATTGTGGGTTAATGCACTGGACTGCAAAGTTGGTTTGAACTGTAGTGTCAGTTGCTCCACTTCACCAGCCACTCCCTGGGACCCTATAAAGGGTTGCTATGGGTCAGAAATGACTCCATGGCACTTAACAACAAGCTCGGGCTGCTTTGGATCTTACTGACTAACAATGGGTGCTGTTTCCCTACAGGTTATCCAGGCTGTGTTTTTTGGGATCTGTGTCCTGACTGATCTTTCCAGTCTTCTGACGAGAGGCAGTGGGAACCAAGAGCAAGAACGGCAGCTCAAGAAGCTCATCTCTCTCCGGGACTGGGTGCTGGCCGTACTGGCCTTTCCTGTTGGGGTTGTGAGTATGATGATGGAGGTCATTTAGTCCCAAAGGGAAACTAGGGTCTTATTTTAGACTTCAAGGGAGAAAAGGGGGCTTATCATAGGAGGTCTTATGTAAGCCAAATTGAAAATGTGTAGTCCTTGGATCTATGACCAGTCTAGTGGTTTTGAACTTGAGAGAGAGGATCTTAGCATTAGCTCATACTTCTGCCCTTCCCTGACTGTGGCATTAGCTAATGTCACCTAAGTAAATGCCACTCAAAGACTGTTCTGGTGTCATTGAGATTTCATTGCTTTCCGTTAGAGTCCCTCCATAGCTCCGTTTCTTTCACAAGTCTGTTAACCATCCATTATCTACACATAGACTACGTCTTTGAAAGATCAGGTCCCATGAGGTTCTACAGAGTTTAGTTATTTAATTCTGCTATAACACAAATGGACTCCTGGTGTGGTGCTGTGGGGTCAGCACTGCAGTGTGACACAAGGTTGACAGTTCAAACCCAACAGAAACTCCTCGGAAACCCTATACAGGGTCACTATGATTTGGAACTGACTCTGGTAGCGTAGTGGTTACGAATCGGGCTGCGAACCTTAAGGCCAGCAATTCGAAACTACCAGCCGTTCCGCGGGAGAAAGATGAGGCTTTCTGTTCTTGTAAAGATGTACAGCCTCGGAAACCCTGTACAGGGTCGCTATGGGTCGGAACCGACTCGACGGCACTCAACAACAACAGCACTTAGCAACAAAATAACACAAATCTCAGTAGCACAGTGGCTGTACACAATAAGCACTTGACTGTGAACCACAGGTCTGCAGTTAGAGCCCGTGAAGATTTAAAGTCTCACAAATGCTATATAGGGTCCCTATGAGTCAGAACTGACTCGATGGCACTTAAGAACAACAACAGCACCATAACACAAATACCACAAGTAGATGCCTTTAAAGAACAGAAATCGATTTTCTTACAGCTATAGAGGCTAAAGCCGACATCAGGATTCAGTCATGCCAACTCTTTTTTATTGCCAGTTTCAGATGTTCTATGATGCCTTAGCGTTCCTTGATTTGTACATAGTTCTCACATGGTGTCTGTCTTTTACCCTATGTATGTCTCTAAGTCTGTTCTGGTCTTTTTATAACTCAGAAGTAACTAGGTATAGGATTCACCTAACATATCACACACACAACACACACAACACACACAACACACACACACACAATGATATAAACTTATTAACATAACAAAAGAGAAACCTCTACTTCCAGATAGACAAGTATCAGGTTAGGATTTCAACATAGATTTTGACAAAATACGGTTCAGTCCATAACATCTGAGTACAGCCAGGTGAAAAATGAGAAACTCTCATATGTTTCAGATTGTGAAACAGTGATTTTTCATTGCTTTCCGTTAGAGTCCCTCCATAGCTGTAAAATATGTTACCTAATTCAAATTTATACCGTACATTTGCCAGTTAAACTTTTTGGGAGAAACAGAAGCCTAAATACCCTGGATAGCACATGCACCAAAGTCCCAGGTAGTCCAATGGAGGGAGAACTAGAAATGTGTCCTTTAAAGTCATCCCATGACACTTATTCATATTTGTCAGAGCTGTAGTTCTCAGCACAATGAATCCATTACCATGTGGGGAATTTGTAGGTACCTACTCTCACCAGCTGCTCCTTGGAAATCCTATACAGGGTTGCTATGGGTCGGAACTGACTTGACAGCACTTAACAACAACAACAACAACTGTCTCTAAATTACTTTTTTATGTGCTGGGTTGTATTTTCTTGAATGAAATAATTCTTAGCTCCTAAGAACAATGCAAGGGACAGGGAAGTATTGGGATCTGGTCACACTATTCTTCCCATTCCCTCAACTTTGTTTTTTGGGAACTTAAATGAGTACTTAAATTGGAGCCATCTAGTAAATTTCTGAAATTCTGTTTTTAACAGAGTTATAAACCTTTTAAATTATTTAATATGTACTTCATTAGACTTGCCTTATAAAATTAGAATACTTTTCATCAGAATTAGTAGTGGAGTGAAATGTAAAGACTTTTTTTCTGACTAAAGGAATTATCTAGAAAATGACAGGTTTGTATTTTTGTTGTTGGCGTTGTTAGTTTCTTTTAGCCCTTAATCTCTTGGAATTTCTATAGAGAAGGAACTGAGAAGGAGAGCTAGTACCTCTAGAAGTCCTCTTAGTCTAGAAAGTGAGGTTGCTAATAAAAATAGAAATGGTTTCTTTAACTCCATTTCTTTTGTGTGGCGTCAAAGTGGGTCTCTCCAGGGAAATTCCCACTTTATATGGTGAGTCTTTCACTGTCTTCAAAGGTTCATTGCAAGTGCCCTTTAGAACTGTGACAGTACTTTTGGGGATACTTTGGTATCTGTTTGAGGTTTGAGATGTTTGTCAACTTCCAGCATCCTTTCTGAATTCTAATCCTGTATACTTCATGGTTTGTAAGAAGAGCAGCGGTCCTTTGGTCTGATTGTGTTATTGTACCTGATGTTTTCTTCCCTGTTTTAGTATTTTTGTTGTTTCATCCATGCTTGAGGAGAGAAAAGGAGTAAAACTCCCTTTAATATGCCTGCCTTTTACAATCAGAAGTTATACCTTCATCCTTTCATTGCAAGTGTATAAACCTTCCCCAGCTGATGGGCTCTCTGAACATAAGGACTTTTACCATCTCTCTGTTGTACCCCCAGTGCCTGCCATGCTACCTGGCACACAATGGCTAAATAAAGTTATTTAAGTTAATAGGATAACTTAAAGAATAAATCATTAATCACATGTGCAGCCTTACAGAATTTTTAATTCTCATGTTTCCTTCCTCAGTGATATTTAATAGTCAGAATTTTGATTTTTCATAATTTTCTGTTATTATGAGCCACTTTCCTTATCATATTCACAAACGTTTTCTTTTCCCCAAACTTTCTGAAGTTCCTCTGCTACATTGCTTTCTCTCTGCTTCCTCTTTCTCTGTATTTAATAATAAGAAGAATCTTGATCAATACTTGTTCCTGTATACTCTGTCATTTGACTTTTTGTATTGACCCTATTTCCAACAGATTTCTAACTCTAGTGTCTAGATGTTATTTTAAGGCAAATACACAGGTAAGTAGCTTCTTCCTAATCTCATGAGTTTTATAGCTATTGTTGTTACTAAGTGATGTTGAGTCGGTTCCTACTCATAACAACCCTGTAAAGGGTTTCCAAGGGATGGCTGATGAGTTTGAACTGTCAATCTTGTGGTTCAAACCATCCTTGCCATTCAGTGCTTAACCTGCATTGCCATACCAATTTTATAGTTAAATCATACTTACTGATGGCATTAATTTGGTTCTTTACAAGCATTTTCAGTGGTCTTGGTGTGGTGCTGTGGGTTAATGTGCTGGACTGCAAAGTTGATTTGATCCACAAGTTGCGTGGTTCAAGTTCACCAGCTGCTCCCTAGAAGCCCTATACAGGGTTGCTATGCATCAGAACTGACTTGACAGGAAGTAACAACAATAGGTATTTTGACCCATGATAGCTGTTGTTGTTTTTTCATTAAAAAGATAATTTTGCCTTTCCCTAAGATTATCTACCAACTTTTCAATTTTCCTATTTCTCTGTATTTTCTTGAATGAAACAGTCCTGAGCTCTTAAGAACAATGCAAGAGGCAGGGAGTTATTAGAATCTGCACACACCCCTCTTGTCATTCCTTCACCACCTACATTCCTTCACCTTTCTCCTGCCCTTTCTGTCCCTTCCCTGTACTTCTCAGCTGCTCAAAGAGATCAGGATTTCCACTGTGTTTTTTCCCTTATGGCTTAAGACTGTCTTCTTATTAAAACATAAACCCTTCCTGGAATAGTGTCACTAAGAGTTACCTGAAGAGGCCTCATCTCTACTGCTCCTGTGATTCCTGCTCTGGAAGCGAGGTGTCTAACCTAAAGCGTTCACTAGCTCGAAAGGGTGGAAATGACACAATGTCCAGAATCTGATGAACATGCCTATAGGAATCTGTAGTGTAAGAATGGAGTCCAGTTATGATACTGTGGGATAAAGCACTAGACTGCAAGGTTGGTTTGAACCACAAGGTCAGCAGTTCAAACTCACCAGCTGCTCCTTGGAAACCTTATACAGGGTTGCTGTAAGTTGGAACTGACTCAATGGCAGTTAACAACAGTATAAGAATTCTTATCGTTCCTGCAAATGATTCACTATAACATTTATAATGAAATACTTTTTTACCATTTTAGTTGGCTTAGTCAAAACCCTAGAGGGCAGAAAACTTGAGAACTCTCCCCATTGCAGGAAAACACTTGAGTGTGCTTGAACTTCTCAATGAGGAAGATACAGAGCTTTGGCTTCAGTTGCCTGTGGGATCCCCAGAAACCTCCCTTACTCGGCCACACTGACTACCAGACGAAGGCCAGGCTCCAAGAGGGCTTCCTTCACTGTGTCCTACTGTGACTTTTCTGCTTCAGGCTGTTTGTCTCTCAGAAGGTTACTGGGAAAGCAATGTTATTTTTACTTCAGGGTACAGGACAAAAAGGCATAAAGAGAGGGCAGAGCGTCACAGCTGAATTTATTGCTCTACCAAAATTTTCCCTGAAGAGACATTTAACCCTCAGCCTTTCTTTCATTTTCCTTCTATTTCTCGCTCACTCTCACCTCAACTGCTACTATGGCAGCAAGAAAGGCCCTTGCAGGGTTATCTAGAATTGAACTTTCTACATTAATGCTTCTTCCAATAACAAGGTTAATTGAGAGTTGACAGTAATTGCTTTATGTGGGTATGAAGCACTAAATATGATTAGGTGACCAGTAGACCTATTGTATCTACTGCGTGGACTCTATCTCAAGGATATATAAAAACCATGGAACAGTCCAATCAAAGATAGGTTTTTTGTTTTGTTTTTTTTATCAGCATAACCTTGAAGAAATCAGATAGAATTTCTAGAATGAGCAAACACATGTCATGGTGATTGGTGTAGATTCTCATAAATGAAAAGCTGGTCATGAT